CCCCCCGCACTGGATGGCCAGCACTGTCCACACTTTATCTGCCACAGGTGTCTTCTCCTGGAAGGACTGCTTAACCGAGACAAGAATAAAATAAATGCTTGTTCTGCTTTATCAGATTATCCCTACCATATAGCTAACTTGACTTGTCAGACATTTCCACACAGACATTGCTATTCTTCTGATTATATTTTTAAAAGATAAGCTATATTTAGCTTTTCTCTTAGTAAGCAGATAGTAAACAAAGCCTCTCTGTTGTTTTGTTTTGTTTTGTTTTGTGTTGCATTCAAGAGAGACTAAGCAAAAACGGTGTCTTATACCAATAAACAAGTTTAAATCAGGTTTTTCTAAACTGGTTCAGTAGCCTTTCAGCTCCCTTCTGTATCTGAAAATGTTTCTATAATGCTGTGACAGAGTCACAGTTTTAAGAAAAGCTGGGTGGATTACAGGCTACCTGTGTTTAGGAGATGCCCCAGTGCCGCGGGCCTCTCTGGAAATGCTGACGTACCGCTTTCCCGGGAAAGGAGGGACTCAGCAAGAATCCATGCAGCAGGGCTTTTTAAAATTTCATTTTCAATTTTTTGACTCCTCCCTGGTTGAGGGTTCCCTGTGATTACTGACTCAGGAGCTGTGTCTGATTTCTAAGACTGCTAATGGGCAGCTAATGGGCTTTCCTCTTGATGGGAGCCTCAACCCTTCTCACTTGACTGGAACTGGCTTTAATAGACTCACAAGGCTTGGGATGCTCAAGGCTTTAACGAGGGTTAAGATCTTGTAATATTTACTACAGTAAATTCTTTTCACGAATATGAACGTCATGAGTTCCTAAATATCATACATCATTAATAAATGAAGCATAAAAAACTGGCTGACCAGATGCAGTTGGAAAAGATGGTGGAATAGAGGTTGTTCTTTGCTATCCAGCCCGTCATTCAAGGTTAAGGGTGAAACTGAACTTTTTTCCCCTGAACAAAATTCTCTGAATGGGCGTTATTTCAAAAACAGCACTAAAAGAAAGAAAATATAAGAATGGAGATCTTTACCACTACCAGAAATAGTTTCACTCAGCACAAAAGCAGCTTTGAGAGTATCAGCAGTTACTGGATGAACAAAAGGTAAGTAAAAGTTTCACCACGAAATACGTCCCATCTTCCTCACTGAAAAGGAAAATCGAAACTTTGTAGAAAATGATCCAACATAAACAGTATCAGAGTTGCCAATGAGGTCAGAAAAGAAGAGTTTTTAAGCCATGATACAGCTTTTCACTGGCATAAGGAAGAAGAGTTTCATTCAATTTTGCAAAATTTCCTATTTTATTTTCTTACTCTGAATCTCTTGCAACCCAAGGATAGCACATGCACATCTTAAAATCACCCTAGGTTTGCCAATATAACTGAAAATACTAATGTTAGAATGACAGCACAGCATTTGCATTATTAAGCCAGAAAGGAACAAGAAGTATTTTTAAGCAGTTATGATTGCATACTGATTTTTAGCCTGTAAGGAAGATCCAGAGGCCTAAATAGAATATCAGGCCAGCCAGCACTAAAGAATGATATTCTACCCCACTAGCAAATAACATTTTTTTCAGGTGAACTGTATGCCTCATTCTGCATTGTGAGATTCTTCATATTGTTTGTCTTCTTGAGGGTGGTAGATGTTGAATGACACGTTCTTGGTTCCCTGGGTAATTTTCCACCAGCTCCTCGCTAAGAAATACCTGGGAAGTTGGTACTTGCCCCAGATCTTCAAATTTTAGCTGAGGGGGGTAGCAGAGAGAGAGCGAGAGAAGGAGACAAAGTATATGTATGTGTTGTGTGTTCGTATGTGAATGGTTGAGTTAATGGGGAAGATAAGATAGGCAGCTTATGCAAGGGAGTTTATTTAAGACATGCACAGACACAAAGGCGCACATCTGAGATGAGCAACTGCAGAGAGGCATTTTTAAGGATGATTTTACATTTGCTCCTTTGCCCCTGTTGTTCCAAGTTACTCCCTCATCAGCAGTCTCTGTCCTTCAAATTTGTTTCAACTGTCCTTTGCCACTCTTCTGCCCAAAGCTCTCCTCCTTTAAGGTGTGTGCTGAGCCCATGGTTTCTGGCAAGCTTGACTTTTCTAGTAATTAGTTGCTTTCATACGTGAGAAATTGTGACTACGTAAATGAGACAGGTGGTTGCAGTGCTGGGCTGGCGCTTAGTTCTCCCTTTACACCCATAAGATCTCTGAGACGTGTTTCCTGAACCTCACTCTGACATCAGCTCGACGCCTGCTGACACTGTACAAGGGGATCTCACATGGGTAATCTCTCTTTACCAAGCAGCTGCTGGGCACTGCAAGGCTACTGGAAAATGGACAAGTCCAGCCAGACCCATTCTGAATTCAAGGTTCTGGCAAAGCCTCTAGATGTTGCAAAGCATACTCCTCTGTATTTTTATGTGGGGATAACTTTCTTCAGTGATACATATTTAATGTTTCCCCTCTTCAAGACAAATTCCTTTTTTTTTTCCCAGTGGGAGGGGATTTGTTAGCAAACAGTTTGTTGCTAATACCAACAGTCAGAACGTTTTGCGAGAGTGCAGTGCTGGTTAGGTGTGCTTTTCAAACATGGATTTAAAAAGCCTTGGGTTTATGCCAGTATCTTTTTTTATTTACTTAATTAGATTGTGCAATGCAATTCAGCAACCTTTTATACAACATCTTTTAGCCCCAAATAAACCAGTTGCCAAATAAACCAGTTGCTTTACCAAATGGATCCAAGAACATGTATAAGTTAATTAACATAAAAATAAAGACATTTATTTTGTAAAAGGCCTTCTCTAATCAAATCAAGTAAATCAAAGTGTTTTTTGTACTGTGTCGCAGGCAAATTATGCACCCGTTCTGTTACTCCCATAAAAATGTATAAATATGACAGATTATTTGGAAGTCATTCACTACTGTCAAGCACCACAACTGCTGCACAGCGTCTCTCTACAATGGTGTCAGATGTTCAGCCAAGTTTGGGCAGTATGACACATGCACTCAAATAGGAGATTGTTTTAATTCAAAGTGCCTTTCCAAACCGGGATGAGAGTGAACGGTCAAGAAAGGTACCTTGCTGGAGACAGTTCCCTGCCCATATGGTCCCTCTTCCCCATTTTGTCTTCTCATACCTTTCTACTCTTACCCAGTGAGATCTTTCTTGGCTAGGCTGCAAATGATATGAACTAGGTAAGTAAATGTTTGAGGCTGCAGTATTAAGTGGTCAGTTATTGGAGAGAAATCCCTGTCCTTAAGGTGCTTCTCAAAAGATTAGCAAACCTCCTACCAATGTAAGAAATAACTGACTTTCCTTTTCATAATAGGATAAAATGGACCCCTAGATCTTCAGTGTCAGAGCCTGAAATGCAAATGTAGATAGGTGTGTGTCTGGATAAGAACACACCTTTTAAAATCACCCCTCTACACCATATTTATTCCACTATTTTGCCGATTTTCCTAGAGAGAGCAAATGATGGAGACGCCTTTTAGGTTCTGTGTGAACTCTTATGCCTTTTGAAGTCTCTTCCAATTTTCATCTTTTCCATTTCCTTCCTGTCTCTGTCAATAGCTTTGATGGAGCTGTTTAACATCAATTTTAACAGCTTGCCTATTTTTTTAGGGATACATGATATTGGGGGCACAGTAGTGTCAAATTCACTATGCCAAAGGCAGCGTCTTTTGTGTGCTTGCTGGTCTAAAGCCAGACTTGCGCTATTGACTGAAATTCTGTGGTTCTCCCTTGTTAGCTTGAATCTACACAAATGTGCTTACACCAAAGTGCAATTTCAGGTATGTGAAAGCAGTCTGGAAGATGGGAATACTCTCTGGCTTTCCCAGAGCATGGACTGCAGCAACTGTCCCTTGGGCACCACCCTTCCCATTCCTGACTGCACAGATCATCTAACAGCCCTGTGGCAATTGCAGTCATTAACAACAGCTAGGAAAATATTTGCAGTTAAAACAATGTAAGTGATGAGTGGACACACAAAAGTATTTATTTAGGAGGCCTCCTTTAAGTTTCTAGGACAATCTCAACCTACAGGACCAGACAGCTTTCTGGAGACTTCTAGCAAGGCTAGGGAGAATGGGGAATCATCCCTTAGAGGAAGAACACGTACCAAAGCTAAAGCTTTAATGAACAATTAGCCATGAAGCAAGAGACAGGAAAGATTATGAGACTATTAAAGGCCCGTCTGAGAGCCTGGAGAGCCCAGAGCGTAGGCAAAGTACCTTATAAGTTGGCACATTTTAAGAGTATCAATTAAAAACAGATTAAATTCATATGTGATCCAATTTGACTCAATATGATGGGTCACCCTCACCTACCCAGGTTTCCCAAGCACTTCTGGTAATACTGGTTCCATGTAACACGTGGCATTGCCAGCTGTCACTTGAAGATGATGGCTGTTACTGAACCACTCTCATTTCCTTGGTTGGACATGGATGAGACCTTCCCCACTCCTCAGGAGCTGCCAGTGTGCTCTGAAGCTGAATGGGCTTGGTCAGGCCCTCCTCTCCTCTCCCTTAATGTTCAAGCTGCCCAGTCCTCATACTGGCATCCAGCCTCCTGCATTGCTCTGACCCAGCCCCACCACAGCAGGAGCTAGAATTACACACTGAGTCATCTTTCTTTTCCCTTTTCTGTTTCAGGATGACAATGGACGCTCTGCAACTAGCGAACACTGCCTTTGCAGTTGATATGTTCAAAAAACTGTGTGAGAAGGACAAAACAGCCAATATTATTTTTGCCCCACTGTGTACCTCAACGTCTCTGGCTCTGGCATATAAAGCTACGAAAGGTGATACTGCAGACCAGATGAAACAGGTAAGCTGTCAGCATCCTCTTCTGTGGCTGCAAAATTATACAGCTGTTGGAGGTGGCTTTCTTATTTATTCTTGTTAATATTCTACTGGACATCTGATTCTCTTGTAAGCCAGGCTGCAAACCATCCATCCGAAATTCCTGAATGGTTCCACACTCCATGGCCCCACACAGCAAAAGGGGTTGAAAATCTGGCATAAAGAAAAAGCTTTCTCAAGCATGTACAAGGTGGAAGGGGACATGGCAGAGTCCTCAGCAGTTGCATTAAAGCCTTGTCTCCTTTTAGCGTAGTGTTGATTGTGGCTGCAAGTCACAGTCAAGATCACTGCATTTTCTGGATAATTGTGTTTTCCTAAGCTTTATAGCTTTGGAAATAATGTTGGCATTTTCTGTCAGCAGCAAGTATGCTTAGCAGCCCTGTCACTAACATTTCCCCTTTCTCCCGCAATACCACTAAGAGGAGGCGGATGCGGTAGAAGAGGGCACAACTTCAACCATGTTTCTCCTTATAAGCAGCTCATGGTGTTCAAGGGGTTTCGAACACCACGGTGCAGCATGGCAGTCACGATGCAATCAGTTTATCAAGCTCCCTTCTGTGGTGCAGGGAGGCAGCCTTGCAGCCTCTTCTGCTGCCTCCACGTAAGCAGAGATTTGCATAGTTCCTTTTTATCCCAGTGAGGCTGCCCACAGTTTCTGCCGTTACTTAAAGGTGGATGAGAAGCAAATTCAGTATGCATTTATGTGCTGATTATCACCTGGCTTTGAGGGACATTCTACATATTTGAATATATTTTCCCTCCTTTGGGAATTCTTCCCTGTACTCCTCATTTACTGAAGGTAGCCCCGAGCACAGCCTCCTGTGCCCCCACTCATGCCACAGATTACAATGAGTCTTGTGCTATTCGCAGAGCTGCACAGCAGTATATCCATGAAGATCTTCTAGGCATTGCAGATTTTTCCAAACAAACAGCATTGTTTTTTAAAAAAAATTTAAAATTAACTCCAGATTTAAAAAAAAAATCAAATGACACCCTGCAGCTTCCTCACCATTTCAGAATTCAAGCATTGTCTTTCTAATGGGAAAATATTAACCTGCCATTAATTTCATTTTTACTTGTGTCTGCAATTTGCTTTGAACCATCCCATAAGTTAATGTACACATCCGCAAATGGAGCTCTGTTACACAAGCGCGTTTATGTTTCATATTTCTCAAGTGGTATATAAAAAGTGCTGACTACAGATACTAAGGACTACTTGGTATGATTTAAAATGTAGTATCTCCTATTTTCCATGTCTATTCTAGCTTCTGCCTGCCCCTGAGTTCATGCTTGGGTTTTAAATACTAGATACAAAAGGAGCCAGAATGGCAATCTTACTCTGGAATATCAGTTAACAAACTTGTGCCAAAAGCTCTCCCAGCTAGAAAAGTTGCAGTAGCGTAGCTTTCTCCCCAAACGTAGTTTCCAGGCACAGAAGCTTTGTGCACTTAACATGCTAAGAAAGAAAACTGTTGGAGGAAAAGGAAATAAGTTGAGAAAGTTGTTTCTGAGGAAATGACTGCGGAGTTTGGCTATGAGAGCTGTGTTGGTGCTGTGTCCTTGGAAGCCTATTTCCTTCTGCTATGCCTCATGCGGGAATTTGAGACAGGTGAGGAGGGTTGGGCAGGCTGCCTGTAATGAAACAGCCACCATCAAAGACCCTGTAATAAGCAGGCATTAGAAGTGCAATTCATATTTACAGGGTTGTTTTCAAACAAAACCAGCAGTAACCTCTCACCTCTGGTGCCTAAAAGCAGCGAGTTTTAGGTCACCCCAGCACTTCCTAGAACTGGACTTGTCATTCCCAGGAGCTGGGAGGTGGCCATGTGTGGGTCAGCAGCCCTACCTCCAGCTCATACTTTGCCTACCGAAACAGACATAGTTATCTGATCGTTTTTTGCTGAAATATCATGTGATGTCATGTATCAGTCACAGCAATCAGAAAACTTGCTGATCTGTTTTACACCATTTTTAAAGGTGTAGCCCACTTCGAGAAAGGAGACTAACTGGGACCCTCATTTATCTGGCTTAAAAGCTCCAGTTTTTTGGTCAGGAATGTAAGTTTGGTGAAAACATTATGACTCCATACTACAGATCTTTAATCGACTAAGCCACATCATCAGCATGAACAGCTCTACTGATTTCTTTGGACTGGTCACAGGAAAGAAATGTATTTGGTTAAAGCTCTGGTAGGATCAGGTTTTTAGATTTATGTGAGGTTGTCAAATAAATAAATGATTTTTGAGTAGCAACATCAAGAGGCTGTGTTGTTAGCTTAAATATGAAAAGCCACAGCTCTGAGCACAAACTAGCATTATTTTTTGCTAAGCTGTTAGGAATGTTCAGATAATAATAAAAAAGATGCTTAGTATTTTATTATGTTCATTTAACAGGTACTCCATTTACAAGATGTCAAAGATGTTTCTTTCGGGTTTCAAACAGTAACTTCAGATGTTTCCAAACTCAGCTCTTTCTTTGCACTGAAAATGGTCAAACGGCTCTTTGTGGACAAGTCTCTTAATCCTACCACAGTAAGTACTGCAGAAAAGCCCTGGTGCTATGCATTGCTTGGCCAGCATGTTGACAGGTTATGGTGTCAGACTGCAATGTTATTTAAAATAAATTCTCTCACTTTTGGCTCTTACTTAACTAGACTCAGATGATGAACAACATAATATTCTCTGCTGCCATAGAAGTTTGTAGGAGGATGGATGACTGTGCTGCTTGACCCCAAGCTATGTAACTATTGCAACACTTCTAATTCTTCCATTAATATGCTTTAGGTCAGTAGCTCAGTAGGTTTTGAATGCAACATAACTTCTATGCCACATCAAGGTCTTTGCATTGTAAGTACGAGCAAAAAGGAGTTTTAAAAAAAGGTGGTGGTGCAACTGTGTGTCCAGTTCACACACCCAAGTAATTACTGCATAAGCTGTAGCTTTCTTGATCTGTCTGAGGAGGCAGAAGCCTGGCTATTGAAACAACACAAGCGAGGAAGGTGGTGTTTGGCCTTATAACTTATGCACCTTATGAATAACTGAGAAAAATGTTGTGGTTTGTTGTTTTTTTTTTTTTTTCTCCAAATTTGCCTTTGAATAGGGCCCCAAGCAAGGACAACATCAGCCTAAAAGTGATGTTTCAGAAAACTCAACATGCTTAAATGATGCTCTAATCAGATTGCCTGCTGTTCAGCCTCTGCTACAGCAAAAGTCACTACCCATCCAGAGCAATAAACGTTTCATCTGGTGAGGCCAGACATGATGTGAGCAGCCCGTGGCCTTTATCTCAGTCCTCTCTCTTACCCAGGCCTGGAATTAGGGTTGTTTTATCCTTTCAAACTCTGGCAACGTGGTCACTACTGCAGTACCAAAGTTACTTTAGCTGCTGCTATAACACCACTGGACTGAAGACAACCTTGGGAGCGATGTGCCGAATGCAGCTGTGCATCCTGGTTGTCACCCGCTGTTATTTAATAGGTGTCCATCATAAACTCCCTAAATACCCTGTGGTGAAGCTGATGTTGCAGGTTCTGTAAAGAGCCATTGAGTGGATGGCATTTAACCAAAGATGACTTTGGTACCTTGTGTCTTTCAGGACTTTGTCAACTCCACAAAGAGGCCTTTTCCATCTGAACTGGAATTAGTGGAGTTCAAAGAAAAATCTGAGGATACAAGACAGAAGATCAACAAATCCCTTTCAGAGCTAACTGATGGTGAGTACAGCTTAACCTTGGGGATGCTGTTTGCCTCTTTGGAGAAAGAGGTCTTTGTCCTTGTGACACCTCTTTACTAATGCTTTTAGAAGTAAATACATAGTGAAAGCAATGGGACTAGACCTACTATTTGGATTCATGAGGATTAGCAATGTCAGCCTGTTTTGAAATCACTAACTTTACTACTGCAGCATTTCTGAAGGTGGAAAAGTGAGACTGACTTTGCATTAGCCTTGGGGAAAGCTGCTCACATTTGATTATGGCAGGACAGTTTGGGGGAACGACAGCTCCTGGCAGTGGATCTTCACAAACATCGGACATCAATACATCAAACGCAGGCCCTGGTTTCCTTTAAAAGTTTTATTGTAATGGGAAGTACTTGCTGGACTCTGAATTTCAGGCTGTTCATTAATAGCTCAGCTTAGCTCGGCTCAGCCGCTTGTGCCAGCAAGGGTGCCACAAGCAGATGTGTGTCTCTTGTTTGCCTTCCTGTGGAAATGGGGCTGTGGGCACTTTTCCCGCAGTACCGCTGAGCCACCAGCTGCTGGACCGAGTCTCAGGAGATGCACATCGGTGACTGTGAGGGTCCCTGGGCAGACCCTGTCCAGTCTGTGGGGACAGAGGTCCAGCCCTGGCCCATGTGAGCCCACATCACCCATAACAGAGCCTGTTTGCAGCCTGTGCATGGGTAGCTTTGGGGTCGGTTGCTGCCTGTTGCCCTCATGTGGTAAAAATATGAAAATATGGGTGCATGAGTCTGGTACTTCCCAGACTGACATAGGTGCCCATGTGGAAGCACCTTGCCCTGCCTGTGCAATTTGTGCACGAAGGCAGGACTTGCCTCCTCAGCACTCTGAATTCAGTGTCTTTTATGGCTGTGCTTGAACAGGTCTAAAGCAGACCGAGGGGGCACACAATATTTCCATATTCTTTTTGAAGTCTGTAGCAGTATTTGGTTATGAACTATAATCAGAGCAGCATTTTTTGTTATTCTAGTTATTTTATTCTCATGTATCAGTCTAGAAATGAGTAGCTGCTAATCTGGAACTTCCCTTCAAGTCTTGCTTTCCAAATGACAAATGCTTTTTCGTTTACACCTGTTGAATTTCACTGAAAATTCAGTACCTTCTTTAATGTACTGAACAAAAGCAGTAGACATATTTTTGATTCCATGCTATATAAGCCAAGAAAACATGTCATCTGGAAGATCTGCCTTGATCCCAAATCCCATTTCAAACATTAAGCTGCAATTTTAAGTAAGTCCTTCTGTTTGGAATTTTCCATTAGAATTAAAAACTTTTACCTGTGAGGTGCAGGACACAAATTATTTAATTCAGTGAAATGTTTCCATATTGAGCTGAAGCAATTGATATACTGATAATGTATTGTTGCATTAACAACCATCTTAAACCTGTTTGCAGGCAAAATGGAGAATATTTTGAATGAGGATAGTGTAAGCGATCAGACTCAGATCCTCCTAGTTAATGCAGCTTATTTTGTCACAAACTGGATGAAGAAGTTCCCAGAGGCAGAGATCAAAGAATGTCCTTTTAAAGTCAACAAGGTATGTTCTGAAAAAAAAAAGGAGTACTGTTTCCACTAAGAAAATGCAAACTTTGAGCTAAGGAAATCCCAACAAGAGAAAATGAGAAATGTTTATTATTACCATGGCATTCTTAGACTCTGTCTAAACCTATGTGCTGCTGCAAGAGTCCCTAAACCAGTTTGCTTGTTGTGTTGTTTTAAAATTTTGCTGGTGCTTTCACATCCATCTTTCAAAGTCCCAGCGTGAAAACAGACTGTCCTGTTAGTATATTTAGACAACAAGAGCTGAGTACAAGTGATCAGAAGCAGCCATTGCCTACAAGGAGATGCACATTCTCATGGGTAGCCTCTTCCAAGAGACTGCAGCCTGTACCAGAGGCTGCATCCCAAAACCAGCAGGGGTGAAGCACAAAACATTGCGTTTCTCGTGGTGACAGAGCTAGTGAAACATCTACACCCGTGGGGTCTCTTTGAGTACACCCCTTAGGTGCTGGCCCTGCGCTTTCCTCTTCAGGGATGGTGCCCCACCAATCTCCCTCTTTTCAGTCAGGCTCAGGACTGCAGCCCTCTGCATATCAGCCCTGCTTAGCCACGAGGTCCAAGTGGGTGAAGCACCTGTGGCTATTGCCTTCAGGAATCTCTGACCAGTATATCGTGATCAGACAGTCAGCTGTAAACCAAGATACAAAGCTGGGCAACATTTGTGAGATAAAGAGATTATACTCCAAATACATATATATATATATATATGTGTGTGTGAAAGAGAAAAGGTGGAGTTTCAGGTGCACAGAAAATATTCATAAATTACCACATCAGCCAACAGTTTCAGCTAAAAAAGTTTTTAAAATTATACAATCATCAACACTAAAATTTTTAAGTGAGACATCTCAAGTTTTTTTTTTTCCTGAAGTTACATTTTTCTACTGAATCTGAATATTAAATGAGTTTCCAGGTGAACAGAACAGTTTGTAAATCTTCCCTATAAAATAAAGAGATTTTTTTTCTTTTTTTTCATTCATGAAAAGCAAAGACATAGGGCTTTAGGTAAGCCTGAAATGTCTTCTTACTCTGTTTCAGCTCCTGAACCAAAATATCAATTATTTGTGTGATCAGCTTGACTTTCACTGTTGAGAGGTGCTCAGTGCTTGACACTTACTGGCATTACGATGCGCTGTAGACAGTATAGTTTGTAGCACTCAGTGAAACAGGCACAAAAGCCTACTGATATTAGTAAATTTCTCTTTTAAGGCACATCCCCAATATGTGGCTATTGTATTAAGTAGAATTCTGTTCCACTTTTCTTTGGAAAGCTGCCTACTGTAAAAAGCCAACAGGGTCTCTTAGAGCTGGTTTCAATACCTATGAAAGCCAACAAATTCTCTGATGGTAACTCAATGTACCACTTCCATGCAAGCTTACAAGCTTTCTTCTCTCGCCATCTTATTTGTAAATTAATAGGAATGCTAGATTGTTTCCGTTGTGTTTTGCAGACTGAAACTAAACCAGTGCAAATGATGAATCTGGAAGCTACTTTTTGCCTGGGCTACGTAAAAGAATTAAATGTTGCCATCCTTGAGCTTCCATGCCTTAACAAACATATAAGTATGCTCATTCTGCTGCCCAAAGAGATTGAAGATGAGACCACTGGCTTGGAGAAGGTGAGAGAAAAAAATAGAATTGGTATGATGCTTCCCTTGGAAACAGCCTGCTTATAATCCCATATGCTTATGGAAGGCTTTTGTTATTTAGGTACTATATAGGAGGAAACAAAAAGTAAGTTTCCTGTGAATTTACCTTCTCATTCTGTTTCTCTGTTCCTGATCTCGTATTTGTGACATCATTGTTTCCACTGGCCCAGTGTGAGCTTGCAAACAAGACTTGGTTTTAGATATGGTGTGCACAGAAGACAGTGTAAAGTGCAGAAGGCGCCCATGATGCACTTTAGGAATCTGCATCAATTTGAAAATCTGGACTCCCCAAATAATTTTTATCTTAAGATTTTTGTTCTTGCTATAGTAAAAAGTGCTTAAAATCGTATTTACTGAGTACTCAGTAGTGCTGATGATATTATTTACTCTGGTGTCCTCGTTTTATTCATCTGACATGTATCCGTGATTTATTTTACTAAGGTCTTACACTTCTCTAGGTTTTAATTTTGAGCAGAGGTGCCTGAAAATGAACCACTTTTTATTACAATTTCACATAGATTTGAAAATTAATAAGGTATTTCCTAAAGAACAACTATTTGTTATGTCGTTTCTCTATGAAAATTTTAGAACATATTTTCACCTCTCTTCAAAATTTAAAGATTAAGAGACAGATGATCACGCAAGTCTCCTTTGTAATTTGCTGCAACTGGCCATACATTTTAAAGGGAGGAGGAATCTGCCTTTGCAGCTGTAAGGTACTTTTATACGTAGGAGTAAATTACAGAACACATATATCTCAAAATGCAAGTGAGGCCTTTCCTGATACAATTTGTTGTGAGCCCAGATTCTGCCTCCTCACTTCCCAGTTTTTAAAAAATTGCTCAAACAGCTGCATGTTTGATTGAGATCAGGCTCTGGATTTGGAGTCTTTTTCTGTCCCAAATACCAGCAATTTCGTTACTCTGTAGGGTCAGGAGTCAAGACTTTTGGATCTGCTAGTTGGCTGGGTGCAACCTGGGTAGGGACTATCTTTCTCACGTTCCTTCGTATGGTGGTTGAGGTGGTTGCCTGTCAAAAGCTTGTAAGGGGCTAATAGAGCATGCACATACAGTGGAGTTGCTGCAGAGGCTTGTCCGATGGGTTAAATCACACTTGCATCAATATAACCGAGAGTATGTTAACCCTGAATTCTGCAGTTGTGAATTCAAAAGCAAAGGTTGCCTTTTGGACTTTGTTTTTTGGGGGCTTGATAGGAGTGGGAAGTTCAGGAATGGTCTTTATTTTTTCTCTCTTTCCTTGGATTGCTCATTAATTTCCTTTGTTCCTTTATGTCTTCAGCTGGAAAAGGCACTCACCCCCGAGACCTTACTACAGTGGACCAATCCCAGCATGATGGCCAACACCAAAGTGAATGTATTTCTTCCAAAGTTTAGCGTGGAAGGTGATTATGACCTGAAGCCGCTTCTGGAAAGCCTGGGAATGACGAATGTCTTCAATGACAGCACATCAGATTTCTCCGAGATGTGTGAGACAAAAGGTGTCATTTTATCAAAGATCATCCATAAAGTCTCTTTGGAAGTAAATGAACAAGGTGGCGACTCCCGAGAGGTACCAGGATATCGGATTCTGCAACACAAAGATGAATTTAAAGCTGACCATCCATTTATCTTTTTGTTTAGGCATAACAAAACTCGCAATGTGATTCTTTCAGGCCGATTCTGTTCCCCTTAAGCAGGGTGTATTAATTATGAAACAGCACAATTACATTTATGGTGGTGCATGTTCCTGTAAAGCTTGGCGTCCTGACTATCACCCTTGAAAGGAAATCTAAGGGGTTCATATATCAGCTGGGTAATACAATGTACTCTACATATGCAGCAGAGCTAGTTTATCTCCTTATGTTTCATCCCTTTAAGCTGAAGGATTCCCACTGTGAAGAACACATCGTATTTTACCGAGAAGTATCCCAGCCTCAGCAACAAGTATATTTTGTTCCTCTGTGACACCTTTTTCCCAAAACGAAGTGAACTGAGAGCCTGTTTTAGATAGACCAGGAGTTGGAAAGGGCTCTGGGAGGAAGAGCTACCTTCCTGCTCCCTAGCCAAACCACTCTCCCTTGTGACCAACGCTCTGTGGATTCCTACTGCCTAGAAGGGGAAAATGTGGACATGTGGTGTGATAGCCCTCCCCTTCTACCTGGCTACACTCTGGTGGTCCAGGGCGCCCTACTGGACCCTGCCAAAGCCCAGTGAAACAACACCCAAGTTCTGCAGCTTAGCTAGACAATTCAGGCTAGCATCAGAGTTTGCATCTGTGAAACAGCAGCTGCACTGAGACCTATGGATGCAAGAGGCAATAATCATGGTGACAAAACGTATACCCAGAAGACTCTTCAGAGTGAGCTACGTCAGTTCATAGGTTGGGGAGGCTGGACTCTGCTGTGTGGGATTTTTTGACTCATTGCCCTTCAAACATGGAAGAGGGGACCAGTTCACTGCAGCTACGAGGAGCTCTGTTGTATATATCCTGAGAAAAAGAACATTATGCAATTCTAGGACAGAAAACAGTTGAATTAATACTGGAAGTGCCATACTTTTCATGCACAGATTATCTGCCATTTCTAGTTCTGGATTCAGCATTAAGGAGACTCCATACAATTACTTAATGTCTGAGGCATGAGAATGAAATAAGGACTTCAACTTGAGTGAGATTAACATTGTAATTACCAGTCTCCAAATTCCATATGAAATCATGGTAATCAGATTTCGTTTCTGTCTAAAGACTGCCTGCTGCATATGTTCAGTACTGGTTTACCTAATTACTGTTCAGAATAAAGCACTATAAAACCAGCGTCAAATGCCTGCAATACCTCCAGAGTCAGTCTGTGTGTTCACTCGTGTGTGTTCACTGACAGTGTCAGTGTTCACTCTTGACCTCCAATAAATGATAGGAATGGAAATGAACAGATTCACTTAGGCCACAAAGTCAAAATAAAAAACTAAATCAATGTCTGGATTGCCCTTCTGGATCACACGATGATAGTTCCCAGTAAGGACTATGTTACTAGCTGGTCACAATATACAGAGAATTCAATTATGTACCCTCAAAAAATGGCAGCATTTTACTTGAGAATTCCTCTTGGTGCTTCAGGTCTGCAGGAAACTGGGAAGAGGTTTCTAAATGGAAACATGCAACCTCTAATATGCATACTTCTAAAACCAGAGAACAGCATGGTGGTTATTGTGAATTTGGAGACACGAGTTCTGTTTTGATTCTTGACCTTGCAAGCCCACGAGAAGCCTTTAGTAACAATGATTCAGTGCTTTTACCAGTTTCCCTCCCTCTGTGGACCTTTAATGGGCTCTAACACATTTTAATACCAGGGGGTTAACTGGAGTCATTGGAGTCATATCTTTGAAGGTACTGAGGGGACTAACTTCCACCAAAAATAATGGCAGGTGAGACCCTGCAGACCTCTGGGGGTCTTTGCTGATATGCATCAGTTGCCCTGATAGATGGATAGTAGTCAGAAGAGGAATATAAAATATAACAATTACTTTGTAGCCCATCCTGTCTGAGAAGGAATTGCCTGCAAAGATCCTTACCAGCTCAATAACTTCAGTGATAGCTGAATGGCTGGGAAGTGTTTTATACACCCCATCATTGTCTGATGTGTTTTGGAGGCTGGGGTCAGAGTTATCCAGAGCTGCCGTCACTCTGGTTTCTACTGGTTCTCCTGTAGGAGGTGGGTCAGGGCATTGCACATGGGGTTGACGACTGACTAAGCAGCTGCACAGGCAGTCCATACAGGCAAGATGGACTAGTTGCCTATAGTCTGTACAGTTTATTTGTGTTTGGGCACTGACTCTCGGTCAGGTAGTTCCAGTTGTCCAGCAGGCCGTATCACACTTATTGCTACATCTGTGCTGGTCTGCTAGACTGATGAAAACCTCTGGCAGAGTGCCCCATCCCTCTTTTTCTGCCTGGATGAGATTTCCTGAGGGAGAAGAGCTCAGACATCACTCTCTCAGCTTTTTCAGGTTCTGAAAACATTCCAGTCCAGGAGCCAGTCTTCATTTAATGGATGTCATACTCTGTTTAAATGCTGATCAGAGCATTTAGCACATCCACACAGATTTACGTAAACGTGTCTTCTCAGAGAGTTCCTTGTGATAGCTTTGCCAGGAAGGGTTATCCCATGAAAGCGGAGACAAACACTGCCTCAGGGTGGGGCCCATCTTTCTCTGCCTCCTGACTAATACCAAGGTATCCCAGCCTATGCAAGGCAAGCAGATGTTAGAGATACAAAGCTGTCTTAGTCTATAGAAGGCAGACCCATTTATTGGTCATTTATAAACAGGGTAGCTTGCCCATGAAAAGCATAGGTTCGTTTTTCACTTCTGCCTCTTCTCTCTACCAGTCCCAGTACGAAACCTATCCATCTTGCAGCATGTGAGGGAGAAGTGTCAGTAAGGCTCCTGCTGGTGTGAGAAACGCTGTTAGGGTCTATTTTTCGTTTCCACCCATGCTGGCCTGTGGGCCTTGGGCAAGAAATTGCATGGGAGGACATGGGAAAACCTGTGTGGGAACTTGCATATAGGAACACTTACGTGCTGAAAGGCGTTGGTTACAATGGAGAAAGTGAACATAGCTGAGGACTTGCCCAGATGATTGCCAAGCTGCTCCACCTTACCTGTCAACAGAGCATTCTATCCAGTGATGGGTGATGGCCCTGATGGAAAAAAGCAAGCCATGGCTGGCTTTTGCAGGCAGTTGCAAACTGCAGTGTTATGTGTCTAGTCATCACATCACTTGCTCAGCTGCACAGTCATTGCCCATTTCCTGCCCCCAGGATTTTGTAGAAAAGAAGGGATACATCTTAATGTCTTGTGGTAACAAAAGTTGTTTGTGGGGAAGAGCAGTCTGGTTTTGAAACGTGAAAAATGCTACGTAGAGCCAATTGGCCCCATTAGAAAAGCAGCACAGTTTTAAACCCTGAATATACCATCCTAAGGGCCTAGAAAAGATGGAATTTGCACATACATTGACATTTCCTGAGGCAAAGCAGTTAAACTGATGTCAAGGAAGTTCTGAGGGAATATATGTACAGAGCAAGTAAAATAAATCAGTGGAGGAACAATGTTAATATAGGAGGGAGGGAGAAAGCATAGAGATTGGAAGAAGGAAAGTCTTGAAAGATACTAAAAATACTCAGACTGTCACTGAAAAGAGGCTAGGACTCATAAAGGCAGAAGAAGAAAAGATACATGGTAAGGCAATGTGCAGAAATAAATTAAAAAAAAAAATGGATAAAGAGACGGAAAGAACTGAGGAGAAAGACTAAGGAACGCTACAGAAACATGCAGGAAGGAAAAACAGAAACAAAGAAGTGAATAGCAAATGGAAGCAAAAAAGCGAGGAAAACCATAAGGGTAACAAGGACACTCATTTTATCATTGTATCTTGCATTGTTTACAAATCCCTCTTTTTGGATGGTACTGGAGCACTGGAGCCTGGGCAACTGGGCTGAGACCTTGGCAGAGGAGCAGGGAACAGCAAAGCTGGTGGGAGCTGAGCCTGAGGAAGAGGGTGGCCCAGCTTCAGCACTAAAAGGGAAGTGTGGGAAGGGCAAGATGGTGCTGGGAGACCTTCTTCCTCTTTCCTTCTTTCTTCCCTTACCATGTCTGATCTCTCAAATATCCTATGAATCCAAAGCCAGTTTTATGCTTTGTAGGAAGAAAGAAGAGGTGAGAAAGGAAATACAGAAAATTTTCAGGGTTGCAAAGCCACATACAACCCTAGAGGACTTAATTTTGGCCCCTGAGTCTAGCTGCCATAACTCAGTGTTGCACCTGAGCTCAGTGGCGCTGATTAGGGGAGATCAAACACTGTGCTGGTGCAGCTCCATGCTTCCCATCTCTTTACTTCCATCTTGCTTTGTGCTGGAGGCGTAACCTATGTGATCAACCACTCCTGGCCTTCTTTTATTCTTAACTCCAACAATTTAAAATACCCCCTGGCTGGGGATTCCTGTTACAGTTCAGGGAAATAATTCTTCCCCTCTCTAATTAAGTTCCTTCCATACGCATAAAGCTGACTCCTTACTTGAGTGAGCGAAATGGCTGTAGGCAACATAAAGCTCATGCATTTCCCATTCATTCGCTCTACCTCTACAAGCAAGCTCAGCTCCAAACAAGGCTTCTCTGAATCCTGGCATGAACCCCGCACACCCCTGTGTCCAGGCCAGACGCCATCAGATTTGAAAGGGACTACGCACAGCAGTGCAGCCATGGATCTCCAGGGTTAATGCCCAGTTTTCCAGCTGAGGGTGACTTGACATTGCAATCAGGAGATGTTGCCAGCAGATATTGCCTGCCAAACTTGTTGGGCAGCTTTGAGAGAAATACTATTAGCGTATTGCTAGATATAGGTTTCCCAGTCTTCTGCAGGAAACTTCATGTTGATGGCATTTGCATTAAATTGCGACATGCTGCTATCATCAACAATTGGTTAGAGGCTGAACTTTCCCACAAGAGAGTGGGAGATTTTTGTAATACAGTATTCACAAGAACGTGCTCCAGAGCTCAGCTGTTGTGCTCTTCATTTAACCTCTTCGGGCAAGAAGGTAAATGATTCTATTTTTTCCCAGAAATAACTTGTGATTTTTTTTGGCAGATCCACAGTAGTCTACAGGTTGATAAAGTAAACATCATGTTTACAGATGGGACAGA